ACCTTTTTTTTTTTTTTTTTTGCAGACGCTGCCATCCCTACCTCGCTCTTCTTTTTTTTTTCTTGTTATTGGTTTTGTTTTTCGTGTTATTGATTTCGGAAGGAGGGGGGTGAGACGAGAGGGGGGGAGGGGGACGGCCGGTAATCGCTCACTAAATTTGTTCGTTGTTCTTTCAGTTCTCTATTTATAACTACGCTGCTGTGAGGTTTTGTATAGAACCTGTAAATCAGAGAATGTGAATCAGAAACAAGAACACATACGCATATACATTTAATAACACACACACAGACGTGTACATACGTGAGCACACACCTGGCTATCTTGGAGCGCAATTCACCTAGACTCGTACCAATATTCCGCTTCTTTTATATCACCTGCTTAACGTTTGAGAAACGGTTATGTCCTCAGCATTGGTAGTTTATTTTTTTTTTTTCTTCTTTCACTTTTATTTTCTTTTTTTTTTTTCCTACTTCCGTCTCACATTTCCTAATCTTCCCTCCTGCCTCGAGGCAGGGGAGAACACCAAATAAGAACAACGATGAGAAAGGAGCAGGATATCTCGTATATCTCTACCGTTGTGTTTACAACGTCACCTTACTTAATTCTTCTTTTTGTTGCTGTTGATGTTGCTGCGTTTTTTTTGTTTTTTGTTTTTTTGCTTCGCCTTCTATTTCACTTTCCTCTATTGGCATTTCCTATTTCCGTATCAGTTCTTAAGCATTGCATTAGTTAGTTGGAGGGCCACATCTTTCGCCGGTGTTTTAATTGGCAGTGCTAGAGTTGGTGGCAAGTTGTACTCTAAGAATGGCTCCGGTGGACGGTACTTTGGTGGAGGTGCCTTTACGCTTGGGACAGACAACTGAAACGGCAAGTGTGTTGGCACACCCACCAAAAGAGACGCCTGCGGTTTGGTCTTCGCACTGTGCGACTGCCTACTACTGCCCGTATTGAGGCCTAGCATCAGCGGCGATGATGTCGGGGCTCCACCGTTCACCTGAACAGCACTCGTTGTGTTGTTGCTCACTGCTAGAGGAAGTGTCTTTTGTGCGTTGTGCACGTTGGGGTTGAGAATGTATCCATATCCGTTCACGTCAAGGTGTCGCTCATCTGGCAGCTCGTGCAGATACTGACACTGCGCCCCCCGAAGACAACCGCCATTGAGAAAGTACTTGCAAAGCTCCTGCGAGCGATCGTGACTCACCGTTGCCGGCATCAGAGTTGTCGGGTTGTTGCTTATGCCGTTAGTGGTGCCTTGCAGTAACACGGAAGAGGCGGAAGAGGCCAAGAAGGCATAGCTAGTGTTGCTCGCAGTGGTAACCGTCGCGGAGGGAGTACCTATTCCCGCAGCAGCGCGAGTGTTCGGATTTGCGGCCCCCGTTGATGTTGTGGAGCTTCCAAGCAGCCCAGAGTTCCACAGACCTGGATCCTTCGACAGCATCTCGCCCACTTATTCACTCACTATCCCCGAAACACCACAAAAGAAAAAAAAAAAAAAACCAGTTAAACAAATATATATAAATATATATTTGCGCTTCAGGTTTTTTTATTTCCTTTTTTTTTATTTCTCTCTCTCGCTCTCTCTATATATATAAATATATATATATTTTTTTATGTTATTATTTATTTTTCGTTTTTTTTTTTTTTTGTTTGGTATTGTTTTGTTTGGTAGGAAGGGCAGAAGGCCACCCGTCCTTTTGTTTTTTTTTTATTTTGAGGGGAAACTCTTTTCCTTGGTTTCTTTCCTTTCTCCCTCTCTCTCTCTTTCTCTCCAATATGGCCCTTCCCTTATCGTTTTATTCCAATGGGTCAAGAAGAAAAAGAGTGCCCCCGAGACTTCACTAGCAAACTACTATAAGAAGAAAAATAGGTAGAGAGAAAAATAAAGAAAGAAAAGTAATATTAAAGGATTCAAAGAAATAAAGAAGAAATATTTCAGATATATACAGCAACTAGAAAAATCAACCACCCATTCTTAATGGGTAAAAAAAAAAAGAAAAATTGTGTAAGAAGGCAAAGGGAGACGACTACCCAATCCCCCACACCCATTCTCCATATATTGCCGAAGGATGATGCAGCTATGTCGCCTCAAAAATAAAAATCACCTTTTAGGTTGATAACTCAAATACCACGTTGTTTTTCTTTTGTACGGCTCACGTTAATTGAGCGCAGGTACGCTGTCATAGGAACCATTACAACAACAAATAACATCGTCACAGCACCAATACCGCGACTTTTGCATCTAACACACGTGCACTCAAATCCCCACCGTTTTTTCATAGCCAACGCCAACCTTGAAATAGGTAATGTATTTCCTGGCATGTAGTTTATAAATAGCTCTTCACCCTCACGCACGGGCCTAACTGTCCGAGCGCTTAAGAAAAAAACACCCTTTATACTATTGTACGTGATTGTCACTTCCACATTTGGGTCGCACTGATGGTTAAAATATTGTGCCTCTGGGAACAGACATATGCCTCGTCGTCCATTGTATTCAACGTCGTATCGATTAAATTCAATGATGAGTGGCAATTTTTGAAGATCATATGAGGAAAATTCACCACTAAGTAGGAAGTTTGCACCATTCTTAAGAGCCCCCTCCGGTCCAGGAGCTCGAACTTCTTCTGCAAACTCAAAGACATCCTTTTCACGCGTAAAATATGAGAAACCACCAGACATTAGCGTCGCCACGCGGTGTTTGATGTACTTCTGCTCCTCTGGTGAACCTAGAACAAGTTTTGTAAAAACTTCCTTTGTAAGAATCATTACCTGATCCCGCAGCGGTTGTTCATTGTTATCACCAATGTACATCACAAAAGCGGGTATGTTCATAATCTCGCGTCCATAACCAATCTCACGACGCGCAAAAACACCACGGGCGTACGCCCCACCAAGATTGGCATTCATATCAATTTTAATGTCTTCCGTCACGAAACCACCTTTGGGGGCGTCGATAGTGCCTTGAATGGGTGAGACACGAGCAAAGTACCGAGCACCTGTCACTGTCGCTGATCTTATCATTGATCTTCTAACTCCTAATAAGGTAGGCATTCGTCTAAAAGTAGTATGGTGACTACTTGCAACTGCTGTGCGAAGCACAAAATGGTGCTGCGCCCAGAAGCGCATTAGATATCCAGAGTAGACAGTTCTTCTCGAAATCAAATAATATTCCATATTTATATATACATATATATATATAAATTCGGTAACGGGAGAAAAAAAAAAGAAAAAAAGGAAAAAAAAAGAACATGCAAGGTGCACTCCAGGGGATAAAAAGAAACTCACAAAAAGAAAAAAAAAAGATCAAAAAAACACAGTAACGGTCTGTCAATCCAAACCTGGTGAGGGATATATTGTTACTATGTGAATTCACCAAAATTAATGTTCAGTTGTCGTTGTCGTTGTATTTTTTTAAGGCGGACGTAACACAACAACGGTATTGTGCTCCATGACGCACATAGCCATAGGCCTCTCCCTTGGTCTAATGAAGTAACTTCTGCATTGACATTGGCTTTCCGTTTTAGCTGTGTCATCACGCTTCTCCTGGACCTGGTGTCTTGTCTTGGCTCCTACTGCGGGAAAGAGACGTTGGAGTGGACGATGGTAAAGAAGTTCCATGGTAACTGAGTCAAACGTGAGTAGTGCTCCACTCTCCAGTAGTACAGCCAAGGTGTAGGGAATGAAGTTGTCAAAAAGGGCAAGATCACGAACGGGAATGTCTTCACTACAGTATGTTTGATGCGCAGGTCGTAACTTGAGACCTTTTTTCATTTTCTCATTTTCATTCACTTCAGTTTTTGCAGCTTTCAGTGGTGCCTCCTCAACACTATCTGTAGCATGCACATGAGGAACCAGCAACTCATATACAGTGAACACCATTACAATATTTCCATCCACTACTAACGCTAAAAGACCTGACTGAGGAGGTGTACCACCACTTCGTCCCCCATTTATACTGCTGTTAGTAATTGGAGCCACAGCTGTTGCCGCTGTAATACGACCAGGAGTTTGTTCCACACTGCTATAAAACACTGAGGTATGTCTAATGGTTTTCAGCTCTAAATTGATGAGTGACACAGTACCATCTGTCCAAACTGTAAGCATCATGCTCTCATCATCATCCCACCAGACAACATGCAACAATTCTGCCGAAGTTCTCTCACTGGCAGCAGATACCTGGGTCCATGGCTTCTCCACAGTGTACGCATCTAACGCCCCACCTTCCCGGCGCTTAAGAACGCAAAAATGCGCCCCATACTGAATATAATCCTCCTCGCCATTTGAAATACCAAACGTTGTGGTATTGCGTCCACACGGTGCCTTCCATGTAGTCACCACGACGATTCGTGAGCCCTTCGCGCTAAAGCGAATCCACATCTTTTCCCATGTTCCCTTTGATGGAAGCACATCATTAGATGGCAACTCAACAGCCTTGTGTACAGTTCCCGCCTTCACACTAACGGAGCGCGAGTGTGTGGGAGTGTCGGCGTCAACAGCAAATGTGCAGAGCCATCCCTCCGCTACGGCGCACACAATTACTGAAGACTCCTCCGTCTCTGAGGTCGTTCCTCGTCCTATTCCCCCTGCTGTTGCGGCTACTGTTGCTGATGGTGAAACGGCACTCCGTGATCCAGAACGAGGGAGAAGGAAACAATCAATGGCAGTTAGATTATCACGGCAGCATTCTTGCTGATTTGGAATTTCTTTTTTCGATGTTTGATCAGATTTTTGACTCCGTCGTTCTGTATCACTCTCAAACAGATACGTCTTTACGAAATTCGATGTGTTCAGAATGCAGACACTACCACTGGAGAGAGCGCAGAAAAGACACGGAGAAAGGGCTGATGAAACAGTGGATAACATCCCACCTGTGTGGTGTCCTCTGGCCCAGCAGCAATCAATCACCGCCGTGGTGGAAGGCGATGATGATGACGTCACTCGCCGCTGCACATCCCCTCGGAAGTTTCGTTGTAAAGCATTTCTGGCAAAGTACTGACGCTGCACATGATCCTCTGAAGTGCACTCCTTCCTCCAATCATCAATTGAAACCATACAGTTCTATCTACACCTTCTTGCCCGCTGAGAACGTAACACAGAAGAAACCGAAGTGTGGAGGGGAGGGGAGAGAGAAAGAGAGAGAGCTGAAAGTAGAAAAAAAAAAAAAAAAAGAAACTAAACAATGACAAAAGAGGAGAAAAAAGATTAAATGATTGAAGAACATAAAAAAAAAAAGTGAAACAAATGGCATAAATATTTTACGGTTGACTGCGCAGCTTTTCATAAGGGGATACTAGTACCTCCCTACATCATCTATCCCGCAAGTAAGTATATTCATACAGAGACAAGCAAAAACATATAACGCATTGCTGCAAAACTTCTGTGCTCTACTACATTCACTTATTCACTAGACACGAAGACAACAAGAAAAAGTCATGAAACGGATCCAGTAGTAGTAATAGTAATAATAAACAACAAGAACAAGAAAGAAGAAATAAAAAAAACCGCTAATAAAAGCACATTTTTCCCTACTCCTCCTCTTCGGTAGCATCTGGAATGGGCTCCCACTGAGATGGAGGATTCTTTGCCCCAGAAGAGCAGAGTACTTTAAACCGGTTACCAGAGAGTTTTCTATCGTTACGTTGTGCCTTGTTAATATCTTTATGCATTCTGTAGGTTGATGGTAATGAGGTTCCATGAACAGTCATGTCATAGAGGTATTTTCCGTACATGGCATTATCCTCATTGGGAATATCACGACGGGCGAAGAGCTCATAATGTGTGTTGTTTGGCAACCGCTTCTTCATAATAAAATCTGGTAGATTTTGTCCGTAGCCAGGACGCATCTCTCGCATAGGGTAACCTGTGAATGTCTTAAACTCTGGTGACATTGACCTTTCATCCTCTAACTGCCACGCACCAGGGGCCTTCTCTTCAATATACTCCTGAAATATACGAGCACGCGCAAGTCGTAAATCCCACCGCTGCGCACAAGGCACAGGGAGTGTGCTGGGGTGCGTGTAGCCAACACGATGTACCCCGAAGCGAATTGGTACACAACGCAGAGCCATGCGAGTGTTACAGTACCTACTAAGTAGCTGGTGGCCCGAGTAACACCACCTCTGCTATGGTTTTCCTTTCAGTCAGCACACGAAAGTACAATAAAAGGATACACAAACAAAAGGGAGAAACCAAAGGAGAATATAAGGAGAGTATTTACACAAAATAAAAGAAGGAATATTAAGCAGCAGCAGCAACAGTAGTACAAGGAAAATGTAAGGAAGACATAAAATGATATATATATATATATATCCCTCCACATAGGTTACAGAAAACAGATTTCCCCATCACCACCTACTCACGCATACACCCGCGCACAGAGGGAGACAGAGATATCAAAAGAATAATCTCACTAAAAGTCGAACTGATTATAGGAGCCATCAAACTGCAAACGAAGAAAAAAATAAAAAAAAAAACACCCCTTATTACATTTACTTTTTTTTATATTACTTTTAGAGCAACTTGGAACGCGACGAAGATCCCCTTCCTGCATGACATTTCTAAATACTCTCCGCTTATCTATACTCTTTGTATGGTCCTCACAAAGACCTGTTCCATACCTAAATTAATAAGAAAAATAAAGAAAAAAGAAAACAGAGAAAGGGAGAGATTAGGAAATATGCACTACTATTTCATGTCATGACGTAGTAATATCTCATTTTTTGCTCACCTAGCGTAAGGAAAAAGAATTGCCTCCAGTAACCAGAACATCATCACTTCCTCTGCAACAGAGAAGAAGAACGGACAGTAAAAAAAAAAAAAAAAATTGAAAACAAAGAGAGAAATAGCCTATAAAAACAACGACCGTACATAGTGGGGTTCTCCCTTTTTGTGCACTGCTCCGCCTCTCCCTTTCTTTTTCTTTTTTTTTTTTCTTTTTCTCTTCTAACCTTTTTTTTTTCGTTTCTCTTTTTGGTTTCTGTTTTTTTTTTTTTTT